CCCCGCCCTCGCCAGTCGCCCCCGGGTGACTTTGGGCTGGTGACTCCCGGGGCTCCCCGCTCCAGACTCGGCCCTCACCTCCTGCCGCCCCAAACCGGACCTCCCTGGGCGATTTGGGCTCGCGTCTCCAAGGACCTGGGTCCTGGCCCTGCGCTCCCCTCCCCCATCGCAGAGCAGCGACTCGGACGTCGCGCTGATGTTCCCCCCCAGGAGTGGAATGTAGTGACGTCACAGCCCCCCTCGGAACCGTAATTAGTGCGCGAGACCCGCCTTTGATCTTAGGACCCAGTCCCCTAAGTGTTCTCATCCCGCTTCTGGTTCCTCTGGTCACAGCATAAATTTCCAGCTGGAAGGGGATTGGGGACTATGGCACCTAGGAGGGAGAGGTTTCAGGCTGCCTTACACCCTTAACATAGACACTGATAGTGTGAAAAGCCTACACTTCCCCCGTGAGCTCAAAACATTGGCAGTATCTCTGGGTGGCAATGTGAGAACGGGATTGGTTTGATTTTCCCCCAGGCTTCTACTCTCCAGAGAGACTAACATTTTTTTTCTGACTTCCACCTCATATTCGAATTCTCCATGGTTCTGGGACCAGAGTGCCCTTCAGTGGTCTCTGGAATGAGATCTGCTTATCTCCTGTGGAACAGGTCTTGGGAAACTGAACTTGACAGCTTGAATCTTCCTCATATCATCTCAGCCTGGGGTACTTGAAGTGCCACAGGATAAATATCTTTCTGAAGCATCAGTTTCCCTTTATTCTCTTGAGAAAAAAACATTAATGTACTTAGGGATGACAGTCACATAAATTTCTAAGAGTATACCAGACTTTTCTCTGAAATGAGGCTTGGGTTGTCCTCTTTCTGTTGAATTCCCAGGTTCAACAGAAAGGCTGCCTTTTGCCAGGAGGATACATTGTTGTAAAAGTTTCAGAGGCATTGGTGCATTTCTTACATTAACAAACATGTGAGGATGTATGACTCAAAACCACACAGTGTACAGTTCCTGCCGACTTAATGTTCCAGCCCACATTTTAAGATACATATTTATTTTGAGAGGCGGAATGTCACTATGTTGCCCAGGCTGGCCTTGAACTACTGGCCTTAAGTAATCCTCCTGCCTTAGCCTCCTAAGTAGCTGGGACTCCAGGCTTGACTTCTCCACCTCATATTTGAATTCTCCATAGCGGAGTGGAATGTAGTGATGTCGCAATCCCCCTCAGAACCGTAATTAGCGCGTGAAACTGACTTTTGATCTTAGGACCCAGTCTCCTAAGTGTTCTCATCCTGTTTCTGGGATGAGAGGTAGAAAGGTACCTCTGCCTCTGGTTTTGGCCCCTGGCAGCTGCTGATTTGTGGCAAAACCCCAGAGCTTGGAGTCAGAAGACTGAGTTTAAGTTCAATTCTTGCATTTTTTTAAGCCATGGTATCAGTCCCTCTCAGTCACTAAGTGATTGTGACAAGACCTTGTAGACTTGTTGGTGGCGTTAAATCAGATGGTATATATGAGTATTTTGGAAAAATTGTAAAGTAGGATGTAACTGTGGGGGCTTGTAGATCTCATGAGTATTATTGCTCTTCTTTTCCACAGTTGAGAGAATATCAGCAGAGGAACAGCCCTGGTGTCCCTACAGGAGCGAAAAAGAAGAAGAAAATAAAAAATGGCAGTAACCCTGAGACAACCACTTCTGGTGGTTGCCACTCACCTGAGGATGTGAGTCTTGGCTGGCTAGGCTCCTGGGGACAGGGGGCCCAAGGGGCAGTAGAGGGTAATTGTTATGATTGTGGAAGAACTGTTGGGTACTGATTAAGAGTTCTGGGTGTGTATCCTACCTGTCCATCTGCTAGGGATGTGATTTAGGGCAAATCGCTTGAGCTTTTTGGGCCTCTCTCTTCACATCTGTAAAGTATTGTTTTACTTACACTTGTGAAGTTTAAATGAGATTTGTTATTATTGTTGTTTTTATGTTAATCCCTAGTACAGGGCCTGCTGTAAACACCCAGGACATCCAGGAAATGGTAGTTGCTGTTTCATTTTCCTCATCTCCAGTCTCAAGGGGAAGCCAGGCCAATGAGAACAGCCACTGGCCATCAGGCTATCCCTTTAGGAGTCATTGAAAGGGCCCCAGGGTGTGGTGAGGAGAGCCCCAGGCACTAGGATTAGGGGAAGATCTAACTTTTGAGTTCATCTTTGCCACCAGCTTGCTGCATGACCACAGAAAAACCACTTCTTCCCCTAGGCCTCAGTTTCCTCCTCTGTAAGATGACATTGGTTAAGATCAGTGTCTCTCAAACTTGTTTTTTAGCTGGAGCCCCCTTCGTTCAAGTGAACCCTTACTCAGAAGTCTGGTTTTTAAAATGGAGGTGGAGGTCTGCAGCTCTGCTAGATTCACTGCCCACATCCTGGGCCTAAGGAGAAGGGTCCAGTGAGCATATTAAGAGCTGCATTGGTCAGGTGACTCCACTCTGTGTGACTGCATCCTTCAGGGGACTTTTCCATCTATTTGTTTCTGCCCCCGGCAAGGCAGCAGGTGGCCATTTGGAAGGATGGCACAGGCCATGGTATTGATCTCCTCCACTCTTCTTCAGCATTTCGTTTCCCTGAACCCACATCTTCCTCCTTCCCTGACTTTCTTGCCTCTCTCTAAGCCACTTCTACCTTTCTTCCCCTGCCCTTGTTTTTCCCTTTTCGCCTCCTGTAGATTCAGGACATTCTGAAGGTGCTGGTGTCCGACCTTAACCGTTCCAATGGGGTAGCGCTCCCCCCATTGGACAAGTGGAAGGTGAGGCAGTGCCGAGACCCCTCTCTGGCTTGCTCTCTCCAGCTGTGCATGCCCCTGAGGCTTCTCTGGTTTGGGGGATACTTTGCCTCTGGCTTATTTTATGTTGCTGCCATTAACCTTCCGCCTGTTTATGTCCGCTTCTTCACTTGCTTGATTGATCGGGTTTTTATTCTTCCCCAAAATCTTTTATCATCTTGGAGAAGGTGAGACATACCTTAAAGTTTAACAGTTTAAAGGTAATTTGGGAATAACTTTCAGAGGTGTGTGGGATTTGGGGCTTTTTTTTTTTCTTCTTTTTTTTTTTTTCAGAGACAGAGTCTCACTCTGTTGCCCAGGCTAGAGTGCAGTGGCACAATCTTGGCTCACTGCAACCTCCGCCTCCCGGGTTCAAGTGATTCTCCTGCCTCAGCCTCCTGAGTAACTGGGATTACAGTTGCCCACCACCATGTCTGGCTCATTTTTGTATTTTTAGTAGAGATGGGGTTTCACCATGTTGGCCAGGCTGGTCTTGAACTCCTGACCTCAAGTGATCCACCCACCTTGGCCTCCCAGAGTGCTGGGATTACAGGCGTGAGCCACTGTGCCCAGCCTGGGATTTGGGCTTTTGAATGCCTATTGTGGGTACTCTCAGACTAGGAGAGATGGAAAAAAAAAAAAAGAAAAAACCCAACGGACCTTTAGGTTTTGCCCTAAAGGCAAAGATCAGTAAACCACATAGAAGTTAGTGATTTTTTTTTTAATTAATTCACTTTGGTTTAAGAGTAGGAAACAAAGGGTTAAGAGAAAATGAGTCCACATTATAGCTGGAAGGATTGAAGCTATTTTTTCAGAGGAACTAACTGTAAAAGATGTGAGGTTAACTAAACAGATGAGTGACCAAGACGTTCTGCCCCTAACTTCTCCAAATGGACATTTAGCCATATTCACTGGGCTCTTGACAACAAAGGCACTTTGATAAATAAACAGTGGAGAAAATAGATGAACAAGGTAGGCTGCACACCGAGGGAGGCAGACTCCTTTGAAGGAGGCAAGAGATAATTTTGGACCATTCCAAATGCTCAGCTCAGGGGGAGGTTGGTTCCGAATGGACTCCAGGCTGGAGAAGGTGGCATTTGAGGCTGGCTTGAAGATTAAAGGTGGGTAACATTAATCCATATGGGGAGTGGGGGAGGCCGGGGGAGTGGTGAGGTCATGGCCAGAGTGTGAACTCACAGATCACCTTTCAGGAACACAGGGAGTCTGCTGGGGGGCAGGGCATGGGGGTACACAGGGCTAGGAGACAACCTCCTCTGGCTGTGATTTGGCGTTTCCTCCATCTCTGACTCACCTGGGGGACTCTTTCCTGCCAAGCCAGAGGAGCAGGACACAAATAGAGCCTGTTGGAGATGGGTATGGGGAGAGGGACTGAGACAGAGCAGCCTTGGCTGCTGTTAGAGTTGTCCAGTCGTCACACCTGTTACCCTCCGGTTGATCAGGTCTGTCCAGGTGCTGTGACTCACCTTGCCAGCTCAGAGGAGACACTGAGTGGTACGGTTGGGGAGCACAGGCCTAGAAGCGTCCTGTAGCTGAGTATTTGGCTTTTGCTCTGCCAATGGTCCAGTGGATTAGGGGGTCTGCAGCCTGTTTTCTTATGCTCTGAGATTCCGTGCCAGCCCAGGTCCCTCTGTTCTGGAAACAAAGGCCTCGGTCCTCATATTTCCGTCTTGTTGTTTTGTTTTTGTTTTTGAGAAAGAG